AAAAAAAAATCATAGCATATATTCAACTCCCTCATCAAATCAGTCTATGGCCACAGTTTGTGTGTTCTCTCTATGGGTGGACTGGTTTCTGTGGAATAATGTTAAGCCTCGGGGGTGGCCACTCCTCCCTACCTCAGCCCCTCATGGAACTCCATCCTTGACCTCTTTATTGTTGTATCTCTTAAATCACCAGGGCTCACTGAACCCCCTGGTTAATCTTCCCTGTGCTTCCTGCTTTGTAGGGGGGCAGTAATGAAGTGCCCTGGAGGAGAGTATCCTTGCCCAGTAGCCCCACTCACTGCTGCTCCCAGCTCAGCTCTCCCAAATACCTCAGCTGGTTGCTCTTGGTGTTGCAGACCAAAGCTGCTGCTAATGGGCTACTACCTGGAACTCAGAATTCTCCACAATTCTCCAGAATGCAAGACCAAACATGGTGTTAATCAGAGCAGCCTCACATCTTGAAGAGCTAACACTTGGAGGTGATAAACACTTGAAACTTATACTAGGGCCATTTTGTAATAACTATCTCTATTTGCCTTCATGAGCAACCTTTAGCTAAGTCAGGATTTGAGAAGTGTTGGAAGGCCTCCTGCACAGCTGCTGGCTTTCTCTCTCTGAATGTGTGAATCAAGCCATTCCAACATGTTGCCTGTGGCCACTTTCTCTCTCTTGTTTACCTTCCCCTTCTCACCCCACCAACTGCCCTATTCACCCAGCTGCCAGCTCCTCTTCTTTGACTGCCAACAACATGTAGTGTCCACTACACTGGTCCCCAGAACTGTGGGCCCAGGACCCCAGGGACTGCAGCATATTGCAAGAGGGATGCCCATGCATTTTGAAACATTGTCTGTGGATATGTCAATCAATAACCCATGATAATGATGATAATGAGAAGGAGAACAGCTCCCATGTGGGGTACATTTACTACCTGCCAGGTACCTTACATGAGCTTGACATGCAATAGCTCATTGACTCTTAATAACAATCATGTGAGCTTGGTACTTTTATTAGCCACATTTTGCACATAAGGACACTGAGGCAGAGGCTTAGGCAACTTGCTCAACATCACACAGGTAATATGTGGCAATACTAGAAATCAAACCCCTGGCTGATAGATGCCAGAGAGTAAGTATTTAAACACTATCCTAAAACATCTTATTCATGTACATACCACTATTTTCCAAATTTTAGTCAGATGTTATAATTATTAACAAAACTCATTTTTAAAACATCACACATTCACAGTAGTTTGTGGTCATTAGTATGTTTCTCAATCAACAGATACAAAGAGTAAAACTGCTGTCAAAAGGGGTCTAGAAGATGGCCTCTTGGCTTTAACCAGATTGAGAATTGTGGGCACAGAGTACTCCCATCTCACATCCTCTCACCAATGAAGTTACTCATTCTTCTTATCTGCTCACCTTCTGTTTTATTTCAGAAGATCTGTGTGTCTCTGTAGATATGATGGGGGGACCATGTATAAAGCTATTTGCATAGTCAATCATTTCTTAAACACATATTTATTGAGCTACCACACTGGGGATACTGCAGTGAACAAAACATAGAAATCTCTGTCCTCTTGGGTTTGCATTCTAGTGACAATAAACAAATAAATAGGTAAAATTATAAGCTATTTTAGAGAATGGTAAGTGCTTTGGAGAAAAACGAATCAAACGAATTAGGGGTGAGTGGCTGAAATTTTAAATAGGATGGTCAGGAAAGGCTTTAGTGAGCTGGTGTCACTAGGCAAAGACCTGAAGGAAGGGATGGAGGGAGCCTTATAGCTGTCTGGGGGAAGTGCCTATCAAGCTCATAGAATAGCATGTGCAAAGGCCCAGAGATGCAGTGTGTCTGGAGTGACCAAAGATCTGTAAAGGAGGTCAGTGCTGTTGAAACAGTTTGTCTTTGAGAACGTGTAATGAATAGTTGTGTGTACAGAGGTGGATTTAGGAATGGACTCTGTCATTAGATCTCCAAGTGGCCTATGAAGGCCACCTTAAACCTCACCTGGTTTGCAGGACTAGCTGTAGGCAAAATTATGAAGCAAACATACATGCCTGCCACTCTTCAACCTCCTAGTCCTTCCTTTTGTCTCCTCAGTAGCCCATCTGCCCCACTCTCGAATTTGGGGCCTCTCCAGTGCTCTCTCCCAGCACAGCCAGTTCCTTAGCCTGAGGAATAAAGTACACAACTTGGGGATTCCACAAATCTGGGCTTGCCTCCTGGTTGTGTCTCTTACCAGTTGTGTGACTTTTGGGGGGTAAATCACCTACTTCTCTGAGCCTCAATTTCCTTATTTTTACAATGGAGATAATCAGGTGTTGGAAGAATTAAATAAGATAATGCATGTAAAATGCTGAGCCCAGTTTGTGGCACATAGTAAAAATGCTCAAGAAATGGTAGCTGATATTATTCATTCATACCCATTACAAACTATAGAGAACAACCAATCAGTGGGCCTTGGGTCCTCTGAAAGGCAAAGATTTCTTGCAAGAAAAGTTCTTATATGCATCAATTGTGGGTTGTCAGTAGAGAGAAAAAAATGCAAGTAGAATCACTACTGGGGGAAGTGTCCTAATTTTTTTACATTGCAAATAGACATTGACTTAGAGAGACTAAGAACCATTGGCATCAATGGGTACCTCTTCTAGGTGTGTTTGCATTTTTCTGTAAACCGACGGGCTCTAAACAATAGCATTGCCAGCATCATTGAGTGGGTGAAAAATTCAAATGAAGCTTGGATCTTTTGATCCAGAGTGGGGAGGTGTTTCCATGGTCTCCTTCCCTATTTACTCTGTTGCTTCTGCTTCCATGGAGTGTTGGAGAGGTCAGAATCACCATTTCAAAACCAGAGAAGGCAACTTCTGGGGTTGGCAGGCTCTCCAGCCTGAGGGGCCTAATGGTGTACATCTTTTTCACTTTCACATATGTCTAAGTATCACCCTGATGCTTATTGTCACCTGCTCTTTCTGCATCTGAGCAGATAATCCTGGCTAGCCTTTGAAAGTGGCCATTGAGAATGTGTTTGTTGACAACTTCTAAGAAACCTTGCTGAGAGCTTCGACCACATCCTAGCCAGAGCCTGGGCATTTCAGCACCTTACCGTACAGAATAGTTGCATCCCTGACAAGTTCCTTGCAAGTCAAATTTTCACATATCAAAGCCTATTTTCGAGTTAACTTTCAACAAAACAGGAAATGTGTTTCTCTGAGGAGAAAAAAAATGGGGCTCTATAATTTAATAAAAATCATGTTTATGAATGCAATGCAGTAACACACTTGAAAATCACAAATATGAATGAAAAAAAAATGATGCGCTGGCTGGTGTAGCTCAGTGGATTGAATATTGGCGTGTGAACCACAGGGTCACCGGTTCAATTCTCCCAGTCAGGACACATGCCTGGGTTGTGGGACAGAATCCCAGTGGGAGGCACACAAGAGGCAACTACACATTGATGTTTCTCTCCCTCTCTTTCTCTCTCCCTTGGCCCTCTCTAAAAATAAATAAATAAAATATTATAAAAAAAGATGAGGGTTTTCATATAAAATATTAACAATGTCCCCAAATGAGTCTCAAGATCTGAATACAAAATAGCTGTTGTTATTTTGATGTTTAGCCTAAAGGCCTAAAAGTAAAACAACAGCTTGACAGAACAGAACACACCTGACTGAAAAGTTCACCAGCTTCTAGAAAATTGCCCTTCTAATGCTTTATAGCAGGGGACCATGCAACATTCTTTAGAGGCTCAAATCCTGAGCTCTGGTACTCTGGAGAAGCTGCTGGATTTAAGAAACAAATGGGTTGATCTGGGTGGGCCAGAGAACACTGCTTAAAAATGCCCCAGGAAATGAGTTAATTGGGAATAGGAGATATGGGAAGACTTTCTGGTAATAAAAGATTCAGAAAACTTGAAACTTCTAAATAGTGAGGCTTTGAGTAACATAAAATGAATCAGCTCCTTAATTTCTAAATGTTGCTTTGGCTAATGTCTTTCTATGGAGTTTCTGGACAATGAGAAATTCCTAAGAAGGGCTTTGTAGTGTACGTATAGTTCTCCCTCAGTACCTCTGGTGGGGATTTGGTCTAGGACCCCCTGCAGATACCAAAATTAGAAGATGCTCAAGTCTCATATAAAATGGTGTAGTATTTGCATATAGGCTACATCAGGGTGTGCCTACACATCACTTCTTTCACATGGATTCAGTGTAGTGCTCTGCATGTGGCAAATTCAAATTTTGCTTCTTGGGACTTTCTGGGATTCTGTCGATCATGAATTTTCGATCCACAGTTGCTTGAGTCCACAGATGCAAACCCCGCAGATATGGAAGGTTGTCTGTATTTCTCCAAAGTATGTTGCAGGGAACATGAGTCCCAAAAGAGGCTCCATAAAGGGGTTTCATGGACAAAAAAAAGTTTTAGAAATGCCAGGTGCTATAAATCAGGGTTTCTCAAAATTCAATGTGCACACAAATCACCTGAAGAACTTTTTACAATGCTGATTCTGACTCAGAAAGTCTGGGATGGAGGCCTGAGATTTTGCATTTCTAGCAAGCTCTCAGGTGATGCCTAGGCTGCCAATCCTCAGACCACACTTTGGGTGGCATGGCTGTAATGTCCTCTTGAAGATTCATGATTCTCATTAGTATGTTAAGGGTTCTGTGAAATGCTGTAGTAAAGTTTAGCTTATCTAACTCAGCATTTATCAAATTCATTTGTATTCAGAAACCTTTTTCTCCCCTATGGTACCTATTAATCTCTCACATTCAGGAGACTATGAAGCCAATTCGGGAAGTGCTGGTCAAGCTAATACTGTCCTACCTGCAGTGACTCTATAGCATCTAAGAAGTATACATTTTGGGCACAGACCTCATCTAGGGATAGTTAATAGCCCTGCAGAGACAAAGGGTTGCCAGGGCTGTGAACTGCCATTGGTTTCCAAAGACTCCAATCTCAATGACAGCAAAATAATACGGAACTATTTACCATCCTGCCATACTCACCACTTTCCAAAGTGCTTTACAACTTTAATGCAGCTGGAGCTGAAATGAAAGCAGGGAAAAATGAAGAGATTTGGAGAAAGGAGCAAGCATTTTTCTTTCTTTTTTCTTTTTAAATTTTATTTATTTATTTTAGAGATAGGGGAGGGAGAATGAGAGGGAGAAAAACATTGATGTGTGAGAGGAACATGGATTAGTTGCCTCTTGCACACACCCCAACCGGGGACAAGGCCCGCAACCCAGGCATGTACCATAATGGGGAATCAAACTGGCGATGACCTCTGGCTTTGTGGGATGATGCTCAACCCACTGAGTCATGCCATCCAGGGCAGGGGCAGGCATATTTCAAAAGAGGAATCAAATGAGATGACGAACAAATGACTCTGAAAGTAGACATTAGGTAAAGGACTTGGGTTATTCAAGATGAGGAGGAAGGAACCATCAAGAGATGTTAGTAGGCATGGAAGTGCAATGAAGAGAAAAAAATATTCTATAAAATCTGATCCTATAGAACGAGAAGTAAGAAAACATGAAGAAAAGAGTAATCTTGTTTACCTGGCCTCTGTCTGTACAGTCTCAGCTGTGTAGTTTTCCCAAACTTTTGGTGTACAAATTGTTTGGCTGGGAGGCCATCCCTGAGCAGATTTCTCATTCTCATGGCACTGGCTGTCAGATAGAAAGGGTCTAGATTGTCAGTTCATGTAGGAGGGCATCTGCTTACATCCATGGTGGCCTATCATTCCAGCCCCTATCCCAGTTAGCAGATGGGTCCAAAAGAGCTCTCCAATTATCAGAAGCCAGTGGAAGACAGTGATCCCAAAATGGAAAAAAAAAAGGAGAGATGGGAACCCCTTATGTGGGAGATAGTATAGCACAGGTGTTCAGGTTCTGGAGTCAGACAGAGGCCACACCCCAGCACCGCTACTCACTAGCTATGAGGTCATGGGGTAAATTAGCCTGTCTAAACCTCAGTTTTCTCCTCTCTAAAATAGGGTTAAGAATAGAATCTATTGTATAGCACATGGTAAGGAATGATTAGGGAAATCCTGGTAAGATGGTGAGGATAGTGTCTGACACATAATAGGAATTCAATAATTGTTAACTGCTATTAGTATTATAGTAATCCCCTCTTATCTGAGAGGGAGATGTTCTAAGCTCCTCAGTGGATGCCTTAACTTGCACATAGTCCCAAATCCTATATATATATAATCTTTTTCCTACATACGTTTTCACCTAAAGGAAGCACTTTATGGCTTCTCTTTGACATCCAAATTGCCAGCATCACTACTCTTGTGCTTTGGGGTCATTATTAAGTAAAATAAGGGCTACTTGAACTCAGGCACTGTGATACCTTGACAATCGATCTGATAACCGAGATGGCTACTAAGTGACTAACAGGCAGGTAGCATATACAGTGTGGAGATGCTGGACAAAGGAATGATTTACATCTCAGGTAGGACAGTGTGGGATTGCATGAGATTTTATTATCCTACTCAGAACAGTATGCAATGTAAAACTTATGAATTATTTATTTCTGTAAGTTTCCATTTAATATTTTCAAATATCATTTGACCACAGGTAACTGAAACCATGGAAAGTGAAAATGTGGATAAGGGGGTACTTATTATTATTATTATTATTATTATTAGCATTTCAGTGCAGTTGCTTGGCACAAAGATAGTGCTTGACAAATGATCACTGATATGACAGGATGACAATAACCATGATCATGAGCATAACCCAAACCATGACAACAGTGATGCTGCTGTTGTTATTGACAATGGAGCTTGCTTTCTCTCAGGTATGCTTTAGCGGTTGGCATCGGGAGGTGGTGAGCTTTGAAAGGCTCTGGGCTCAGATATTCCTGGGTTTGAATCCTGAGTCTGCTACCAATTAGCCGATGAGCAGTTTTTCCAGTTGTGAAATGGTTACAATAATTTAACATCCCTCACCGTTGTGAGGATGTAATGAGATGATGCATATGAAGTGGCAAGCCCAGCGCCTGGTGTACTATAAGCACTGATAGCTATTAGCCACTTAGCTTGCTAGTGATCCATTGTCTCAGAATTTTAGAGAGCTCTGGGAAGCAAAGTTTTAACAGTCAGGGTGCCTTTATAATCCTTTCTGAGAATCAGAGGTAGGCCCATAAAAATCTTATATTCACAGCATGTGCCTTTTTACACATTACTATTTCATACACACAAAAGGGAAATAACGTGTTCAGGCCTATCTACAGAAACCCACCTGTTTGGTGAAGGACAATTTACAGTGCACAGAAATTCCTGACTCAAAGCTTGAAGTGTTTTTTTTAAGTAGTGTCTTTTACTTCAAGAAAAGTTCAGAACAGATATTACTAAACCAGTACACCATATGTACTAGGCATACAGGTTTGGGTCACCATCAACTCCAAAACACCTAGCCCAGTAGCTGGCATATGATGGTGCCCAATGAAAACCCACTGAATAAAACATCACCTTTGCATCTCAGAGTAGTTTTGTAGCAAATATATATATATATATATTTGCTACATATATATATATATATATATACTATATATATATATGCTATATAGTATACTATGCTATATAGTATAGTATAGTATACTATATAGTATATATATACTATATATATATATATATTTGCTACAAATATGTGTGTGTGTGTATACGCGTGTGTGTGTATAAAATGTCATGAATCAAGAATGTTTTTCTCTGCATTTAGGAAAGTCCTATCACTCTGCAAACAGGCCAAATTTGAATATCAGCCATAAGGGCTAGACACCCACAAGTACACAAAGACTCTTCAAGTGGATACACAGACAGTAACTCTCCAAATGCTTTGCCAACTTTGGGCCTCCTCTGCAAGATCTGGGCCCTGTATCTTTGGATGGAAATAGCAGAGTGTGTGTGTCTGTGATGCTTCTCAGAACCAGTAGAGATATAATGATGAGGCCCTCCAGGGTCCTTGTCAAAACCATGTGGATCTGGGGCGAAATTTCAATCATCTCACCAGCTGACACCAGAATCCCTCGTAAGGAGAGAACTGGGACTGTCTTGCAGAAAAAAATTTGATAAGGTGCTTGCCTTAACAGCATGTAGTAGGCAGGAACCAAGGCAGCAAGAGCTTAACACTGGTTGGTGAAAATGAACAGAACTTTGGGGCTGTGGGGGAGCAGAGGGAAAAGGACGAATGAGAGGGGAACTGGGAAAGAGGATGGGAGGCTACAGCCTGACTGGGAAAATGACCAAGGATTCCTTAAGTCCAGGACTCCTAACTACATTTTAAATTGTTTGTGCTTGCTGCATATTAGAATCACCTAACAGAGCTTTTAAAAACTGGAGAGGTCCCTGGGTCCTCCCCTTAGAGATTCTAATATAATTAGTCTGGGGTGGGGCCTGACATCAAAAATGTTTCTAAAAGTTCCCCAAGTGATTCTCAATAAACAGCCAAGGTTTAGGACCAATAGTCTAGGTGGAACTCTCTCAGGGGAAGGAGATGCTTGCAGTCAGCAGTGGGGGACAGGCTGAAGGGAGGCCTCTGGAATGCAGAGATCTGGGAGAACATGGATTTTGGAAGGAATCTTATCTTGACCTGTAGGAATTACAGGGATCTAACTGATGCCAGTTGTCTGATTTCCCCTTTGGCTGTCCAGTTCTTCCGTCTTGCCCAAGCAGTTATGCCTCCCAACTCAGCTAACCCATTATGGCAAATATATACTCTTTTTCCTTTCCCATTGAACATTATTTGCCCTGGATCCCATTTGTTTGTGAACCTATTTTTTAAAAGATTTTATTTGTTTTTAGACAGAAGAGAAAGATGGAAGAAAGAGAGGTAGTAAAACATTGATCAGTTGACTTTCATATATGTCACAACTGGGACAGAACTGCAACCCAGGCACGCACCCCAACTGGGAATTGAACCTGTGACCTTTTTCAAATGAACCTGTTGTGGGACAACACTCACCCAACTGAGCCACACAGGTCAGGCTGTGAAACTGTTTTTGAAAGATTAAAGCCAATGAATCTGATATATAAAAACTTTTCTCAGACACACAAAAAATGTACATTTTAACAAGGGTGTTTGAAGGACAAGGCCTTGACCTGCAGCAATAATGATAAAGCATAGAGAATGTTTGGTGGTGGAAGGGACCTGTGAAATTTATCAAAGCACGCCATGTGGGTAGCTGGCTACCCTTGAAGGTGATTATTGGAGCTCCACATCGGAGAAATGTCTGGAACAGCAGAGCCTAGTCTTCAAGGAAAGCTGGAAATGGTAGGTACCCAGGAAAGATCCAGGCATACTCCAGCCTTACAAGGCTCTTCTCACACCCAGCAGCTACCAGTCTCTCTTTGTCCCCACTCCTCCACAGCCTTTCAAACTCTTTACCCCTCCAGTGTTTTATGCAGCTCTGAATAAAAAAAGCTTCACAGGCCAGGCTGCTCTGTTAAAAACTCTCTCCTCTGCTTCAACATTTCCCCTGCACCCTCACAAGAAAATCCCATATGACAAGTTCCTGCAAAGACCTGCCGCAATCCTAAAACAGATTCCTGAAGAACTGCCTCACCAGCAGAGGAACCCAAGCTCCATGGCAGAAGCTCTTCCATTCCAGGGCACCTTTCCCTTTCCTCCCCCTCACCAAATTACTTGGTTGGCTTAGCCCACTGGTGTGACTAAATTGGAACATTTTTCCAGAGTGTGTGGTTCTTTCCAAGAGAATTCAAAGAACCAGGAAGCAGTCACTTCTGACAGAGCAAGCTGACCTGGGGTTCCCTCCTCTTTTATACCTTCACATCTTTGCATAACAAAAATCTTTTCAATTACCTAACATTATCCTTTGGGATTTGCACCCACTTCTGGGGAGGGGACTGAGCCATGAGAAGTGAGAAGTGATGGGGGGTAGCAAGGCAGGCACTGGGGAAACCAGAAGCTTCTATTCCCCTGAGAGGCAGGAGAAGGATGGTGATTGGACTCTACAAAGTTTGGCTCCCTGTCCTGTATCCATTTGGAACTGGACTTGTTCTGGTCTGTACAATCCCTAAAGGAACCAAATTTGCTGGGTCTCTCTGTATCCCTAGATGGGCACCCCAGTCTTCTGCCTTGGCCCTGGTGCTGGTCCTGACTCTAAGACCCACTACTGGAACTGCCGTGCATGAGTGTGCACAAGTGTGTATATGCGTGTACGTGTGTGTCTCCCCCCTATTTCTCCTGGCCAGGATCCATACCCAGCTCCCATCTCCCTTGACCTAGGGGAGGCAGCAGAAGCCAGAAATGATACAGCTTTTAGGGCAGGAGATTGATGGCTGGCCCTCTGCTTTATTTCCCCTCCCCTTCTTGTACTGTCTGGCTCATTACAGCTCTGGGATTTAGAGAGGAATGAGGAGGCTGCTTAGTTGTTTCATCTACATTTTTCCTGTTTCAAGAGCTTTTTCTAGTCCTCAGTTGAAGGGGCTCGGATGAGAAGATGCTGGCATCCCTGCTAAAGTGGAGAGGTTTTTCGGAATCTGGCACCCTCCCTGTTGCCTCCTCCCTGGCTGGCCCAGTGCTGGTCTTGACCTGAGGTGCCTTTCTTCCCTAGCAGTACTCTGTTGGGTAGTTTGTTTCAAGCCCATCTGACACCATAATCTTTTAGCCTCTGGGAGGGCCCAGTGAGCTCATTTGGA